ACTTTTGAAACTAGTTATTGGACAAATTATATGTCACTGTAATCGTCTGACTGCCGCCTATGGGACTGGTCTGGGAAATATGGTAGATTAATAATATTCAAGTTGACTTCTAGATTGTATTTCAGCGTTGGATTCGACCACCTACAAGGGAAGTGTTGTATATATGTCTGATGATGGTGCTGGCTATCACCCTGGTGTTTCAACGATGGGAGGCCAGCCAGCGGACCTCAGGAAAGGCCAGGAGGATAGCAAACACTCCAGCAGAGGTCATGGCTCCTGGTGGTGAGATAGTGACGAAGGTGAAGACCGTATCTGCTTGCCGTGATGGTGAGTCAGTGATGGTGATAGAGGTCTTGCCTCCCTGGCTTCCTGTCATGCTCCTCTTCTGCTATCATAAGAACAACTTTTATTACCATTAAAACTACCACCAGCAGTAGTGGAAATTGTTTAAGGTTTAAATTATATTCGTGTAATACTGAGATAAATACACGGGCATCCTATGGCTAAACTTTAAATACTCTCTGCGCAGTTGCAATTATTTTGCATCAGAACAACGGCAGAAACATAAATTAGAGGTTATTCTTCCCATGTAGATGAATTTTACAAAACATACTCCGAATTTAGGATATTAAAACGGTCCTTGTGTGTATAGGGCTGTGGTGTTTCCGTCAGCGCCTGCGGGAGTCGCTACACTGGCGAGATGCTCGACTTCTGAAGCACCTTCGGGAGATGAGTGAACCAGCGCCACAGGTAAAGGACCTTATTCTTGACCCCCGGCACCCACCTTGGCAACACCGACCTTCCTTCAACACTACCGAGACCTTCATCAGAACTCTTACTCAAGGTCAGGTAAAGTGCCTATCATTACGTATGGCCACACTTAAGTGTGTGTATCAGCTACCTTGTATACTCTTACAGTTGCACACACACATATGTTTAATTGGATTAGGCGGCTAAATTAAATTGCGCTTGTTATAATAAGGTTAGGTAAGTTTTCTAAGATTTTTTAGTACAAAATTATTAATTTTTACATTAACATAAATTAAAAAAAATATGTCTTTAAACGTATAAGAGAAAATTTTAGAAACAACTTAATTTTAAATGAGTTCTTGCTAATTGACCAATTGTATTCACCTCTTCCAACGCCCATCTGCTCCTCTGGAGGCAGGAAGGTGGAGTGTTCGTGGAGGTGGGTGCGCAAGATGGCTTGTGGTTGAGTAACACCTGGTGGCTGGAGACTGAGCGAGGCTGGCGAGGTTTGCTGCTTGAGTCTGACCCTTCAAACTACCGTCTACTGAGAGGCTCAGCCCGAGCCTCACCCACGCTCCCAATCTGTGTGACTGCAGAACTCCGAGTCTCCCAGGTGGGTAGTAGGTGGGTAGGGAGGTGGATGTAGATACTTTATAAAGGACAAGGGGAAAGATGGGGTGACAGGAAGAAACAGCTGTCTATCAGATACTGACAGAGTTAAATAGCCAGTAAATAATTTAAGTTTACATTCATTTTTCATAGTTTTTCAGAATTTACATTCTGTAAAAATGTTTTGCGTGCATTCAAATTATAAACTATATTTAATTCGTATTTTTGGTTTTCATTTTATTTACAAATGCTTGAGAGTATTTTCGTTAGTTTTATTTTAAGTTATTCCTTGTCATATTCCCTCTATGCTCTCATTAATGAAATTTAGTTAATAAAACGTATTTTTTGCGTGTTTATAATTAATAAACATAAAACTACAGAACAAAACTATTGTTTGTTTAATATAAAACAAACTGGATTAATATTTCCTAAAACTCTGTCCAGAGTTCCTGGGTGTTATTTTATTACAAAAATATTTGCAGAATGATTAAGAAATTATGTTTTGATTTTTTTTTTATTATCACACGGCCGATTCCCACCAAGGCAGGGTGGCCCGAAAAAGAAAAACTTTCACCATCATTCACTCCATCACTGTCTTGCTAGAAGGGTGCTTTACACTACAGTTTTTAAACTGCAACATTAACACCCCTCCTTCAGAGTGCAGCACTGTACTTCCCATCTCCAGGACTCAAGTCCGGCCTGCCGGTTTCCCTGAATCCCTTCATAAATGTTACTTTGCTCACACTCCAACAGCACGTCAAGTATTAAAAACCATTTGTCTCCATTCACTCCTATCAAACACGCTCACGCATGCCTGCTGGAAGTCCAAGCCCCTCGATTTTGTATTTGTATAATTTGGTAATTAAAAATCATACTTAAGTCGCCTAGGACCTGCGGCCCCGAGTCGGTTAGCTCTCAGTAGAGTAGAGCTGAGTAAAGCTCTTTGTAGAAGTATTTACAATTTCCCTGTCGAGAAGGCCTGACAGTAGTTAACTACTGCCCCATATTTGAACAAGAATGGGTACGATACCCTAGTCATACAGCCAGTAGCGCCTCGATATCATAAAGGCAATCACCAGATCCCTGCCGATGGGATGGAATTACTGAGCCATTATCAGTACCTCCTGTTAAATACAACCCGACCTCCTTCGGGAGCTGGTCAGCGGCCCCTACCCGTAGTAGAGCGAAGGTTCTGGTGAATAAACGAGCAACGCGAGCAGTTGATACCAACCTGCATGAATCTAAATGAATCTAAATCTTATTTTTTTTAGATACACAGATTCAAATATTGATTTATTGTCTGTAATTTTTCACAGAAACTGATGGTACGAACTCGGTCTCCCAAAAACTTCACAAGAGCTTTGCTGAGAGCTCAACAAGGACGCTCTAAGCTTGCTAAATTCGCTACTCCCTCGGTAGGTCCAACAGAAGCAACCTTGGTTGCATTCTTTTCCTTTAATGCAATAAGGGAAAAAAAATCAAGTGAAAATGTTTCGCTTGATTTACAGACCTTTTTCAATTCAGTAACAAAAAAAAAAAAAGCTTGCAAACAAAGCGAGCCGTTGTCACTCATTTTATTTGTCCCAATTTCTAGGTATTCACACAAAATTTCTGTTCCATGTCCTATCCCTCCTCGATAACTTGCTTAATGTAAATGTATTTATTTAGCTATATTCTAGATTATAGGTTTTGATGCATTATAGATGTAGGCAATCCATATCCATTCTCTTGACGGTGATGCTGGAGCACATAAGATCTTAGAACTAGTCCCTATGGATTAATAAGAGTTCATCTGGGTATGTGAAAAAAAAGGCTTGTACAGCTCAGGACATTTATTAAAATAAACTGTACACAAGTGTCTTTTTCCACATCTTGTGGGCATCACTATGCCATTTCTCACATTTTGGTATATATATATATATATATACAATTTATATTGTGTAGTGATGAACGAATTCAACAGAGAGAACTTCCCCCTCAGTGTTCTATCACGCCTGAGAGACTCAACGCCTCAAACTACCTTATCACCGCTTCCAATATCTTCCGTTTTATTATCGCCTCTGTCATCGACCGAGGAAACTTGCTGAAAACTGGCAAAACTTATCGGCAATAAAGATACCTATGTGTTACACATGTGTTCTAGTCATTATCTTGTCCTGTTCATCATCAGTCTTGATTCAATTTAAATCTCAGTCTTGTCTCATTCTTGTTTCAATAATGTCTCTAATCTCTTTTCGTTTTACCTCTCTTTTATCTCAGTCAAGGAACATCACATCACATTACCCTTTTTCTGGTCTCATCTTTTTCTTTGTCAGCTTTGTCTAACCCTTATCTAATTTTTCCAGTCATATTCAGGGGGTTTTACCTTCTGTTTACTCCCTGGCAGGAACTGTTGACAGGAGACACCTGGATTGCCACCTGTTATCCCATCTTCTCTGTCCTTGCTGCTGCTGGATACTCCAAGGTGAGACACAAGGAAGTCTATGGGTACGTAAAGGAAAGTAGAAGGAGCAGTGGAGATAAGAGAAATTCACAGTTAGCTTGCGGTTTATTGAGGAAACTTTACTCCGATCAGGGGGCGACGACCCATCTCAGGGGGCAATCGACCCATCTGTTGGAGAAAATTTCTCCACAATTAATGATTCCTCCTCCAAATCGTGTGTCAATTGTGAATTGTTGCATATTTAGTGAATGGTTGCAGCTATTGTACAGTGGGTTAGTTGTGAATGGTTGTAGCTATTGTACCGTGGGTTTAGTTGTGAATGATTGCAGCTATTGTACAGTGGGATAGTTGTGAATGGTTGTAGCTATTGTACCGTGGGTTTAGTTGTGAATGGTTGCAGCTATTGTGCAGTGGGTTAGTTGTGAATGGTTGTAGCTATTGTACCGTGGTTTAGTTGTGAATGGTTGCAGCTATTGTGCAGTGGTTATTGTGAATGGTTGCAGCTATTGTGCAGTGGGTTAGATGTGAATGGTTGCAGCTATTGTGCAGTGGGTTAGTTGTGAATGGTTGTAGCTACGGTTCTGTGGCCTCCATTCTTAATAAAACAATAAATATATACCACAGTGATATCCCATGTGTAATATTTATCTCACAAAGATCTCTTGAAAGATTAATTTTTTTAGATCTAGACAGGGACTTGTGACTTATATCCTTCAGAGGAGAAAAGAATATGGAAGAGGAGACAAAAGGGCCTGGAACCCAAAGGTCAGGAAATGCTCTACAATGAAGAATGCTTAGGAAAAAAATAGAAGAGAGATGATAAGGCCAAGGAGAAAGTGGAATAGTCGAGAATAATGGAAAGACGGAATAAAGCGAGGGGAAGAGGGTATAAAACGAAAAATGCGAGAGTAATTGTAGACGAAAATGCAAGTGGAAACAAAGGAGAAAGTGGAAAGTGAGAGAAAGAGAGAGAGAAAAGGGAGGAAAGTTAGGAGAGAAAAAAGGAGGTGGAAAGAGGGAGAACGAATATTCAGTAGTTAGAAGAGGATTAAATAAGAAGAATGACCTAAAGAGAGAGACATATGTATAACAAAATTGATAATGGAGGTGATGACAAGATAAAATAATAATTAATAATATATAGCAATAATAATAGTAATAATAAAAACAACAAAACAAAACAACAAACAGCAGCAATAATAATAATAATAATAATAATAATAATAATAGCAATAATAATAGTAATAATAAAAACAACAACAACAACAACAAATAATAACAATAATAATAATAATAATAATAGCAATAATAATAGTAATAATAAAAAAAACAACAACAGCAATAATAATAATAATAATAATAATAATAAAATAATAATAATAATAGCATAATATAATAATAAAAACAACAACAACAACAGCAATAATAATAATAATAATAATAATAATAATAATAAATAATAATAGTAATAATAAAAACAACAACAACAACAACAGCAATAATAATAATAATAATAATAATAATAATAATAATAATAATAATAATAATAATACCTACAAAAATAATAACATTGAACGTCTCAGCTGTTTATTTACCACAAAATATTTGTACATTAAGTTGCTGGTGGCAAGAGAGTAAAGTTTTTTTTTTAGGCCTCGTCCTCAATTTGAAACTTTTTCATTGGTTTTGTGGGATAACCAGAGGCATCAATGTGTCTCATGTCCATAGGATCCTTGTATTTCATAGTTACAATTTTCTTTAGTGCCTTTTTTAACTTGATGTGTCCAGTACTGTCCCGTCTTTAATGATCTGTGTTATTTTTGTTATTGTTATTGTTATAATTGTTATTATTATTATTATTATTATTATTATTATTATTATTATTATTATTATTATTAAAGCTTTTAAAGGTAATATACTTCGCCACAGGTGTGGGGGAAATTAGGTTTGATTCGAGGAACGGAAAGGAAGTATGTATGTGTGTGTGTGTGTGTGTGGTGTGTGTGTGTGTGCGTGTGCGTGTGTGTGCCGTGTGTGGTTGTGTGCGTGTGTGCGTGTGTGTGTGTGCGCGCGTGTGTGTGTGTGTGGTGTGTGTGTGTGTGTGTGTGGCGTGTGTGTGCGTATGCGTGTGCGTGTGTGTGCGTGTGTGTGTGTGTGTGTGCGCGCGCGCGCGCGTGTGTGTGTGTGTGTGTGTGTGTGTGTGTGCGTGTGTGCGTATGCGTGTGTGTGTGGAGAGACGGGGCAGAGGAGGGGGTATGGGAATGTTAGTGGAGAGAGGGGATGGGGAGAGAAAAACTGAGGAATATGAAATGGTAGAGAGGAAAGGGGGTAAGAGGGAAAACTCATGAATTACGTAAAGATTAGGTCAATTATTTTCTTTATTCTCATTGAAGATTGCAATAATGATGTGTCGAACTTTGTTGCTAAAGTATACAACCAAACTCTTGAAAGTTTGGTCGCTTCTGTGATTCCAGTTTTCGCGAAACATGAACGATTATTAAAATATTTGGGAAGATATATTTAGTTACGTAAACAGCCCAATTCCTTTTTTTTTCCTCTTAAATATTAATTCAAGGTAAATTGGTTTCGCTCACAGAAGTACAACCGGTTAGAAAGTTAGACACATTCACTCAGGCTAGTATTATCTTCATTAATAATAAGAAAATAAGAAAATATTATAACCTTTATATTATAATAATAAGGTAAAAGGACCCCAATGGAAATAAGTCACTCCGTCTGACATTTCTGGGTTAACCTAGGTTCTCTACACATATGCTGCTATGTATGATAATTCTATGTAACTGTATTTGTGTATACCTGAATAAATTTACTTACTTACTTACTTACTTACTTACATTTAATGATGTCTATGTCAGTCATTTCCTACAGACTGTCCTGCTTCTTTACGTAACTGAATGTTTTTAGCCAGTTATCTCAGGAAGACTGTCTTTCATCTCACTTAAGTCAGTGATGTTGTATTTGCTAATCATCACCCACAGATTGACCTTCTAACCTTTGACCTATCTGGTGGAGGGATGGAGATGACCACAGACTTCCTCACTATAAACCATGCGCTGGGTACCCCCTTCCATGTCAAGGTAAGCTTATTATATTATTATTACCAGTTGTGGTATTAGTGGTAGTAGCAGTATTGGCAGTATTTATTCGTAGTAGTTGTAATACTGGTAACAGTATTAGTAGTAGTAATAATACTAGTAGTAGTATTAGTAGTAGTCACATTAGTACAGAAATTGTTTACAAACTGCCTCTAACTCTAACTGAACTCTAATTACACTGAAATAATTTGCCTCACAGATTACTGAAACACTTCTTGATTCTCCCTAACTTCATTCTTGACATATAAATCTGAGATTCCTCTCCGCTTTCAGCTGCTGCTGTACCAAGACAGCCAGCTGGAGGAGTTCTTTGACCTGCAGCAAGTGAAAGACACCTTCAGGAGGCTGGGCTACCTTACGCTGAAGATCAAGGCAGCTCACTACCTCCTCTATCACCACACCATCAGTGTTGTGGCTGTCTGATTCCTGCTCATTCTCTCTCGCTTCACGATATAAATATTATATTTTTGCTTTTCCTCTGAAATTCAGCAACATGTAGCTGTATGAGACGGACAGACAGACAGAAGGACAGACAGACGGACAGACAGCTACAAGGTGGGAGACGAAAGAGTGGGTAGATAACCTGAAAAATAACCTAAAAAAAATTAACGCTGCTGGATTGGAAGTCACCATCTCATTTTCAGAGTTTGTTGTCGTTAACAGTTAATGATTATTTATTCATGTATAATACCTGTATGTATAGTCTATAGTTTAATACCTGTATGTATAGTCTATACTCTGTCAATATACGAGTAAGTACATAGGTCGAACTGTTGAACAGGGGTAAATCACCTCAAACAGGACAAATTCTATTGTGGGTGAACCTTCCTATACTGAACCCTCCTTTTCTAAACTCTCCTTTTCCAAACTCTCCACTTCTAAACCCTTCTTTTATAAACCTTCCTTTTCTAAACTCTCCTCTTTACCCACGAGCATCGTGAGAGGGAGACTGCCAGTAGCAGCTCGCCTCAACCAACAATTTCGGCCTTTATGAGAGATCCTCTGACCTGCTTTTAACATGCTCATTGTATATGCTTAATGCTCTTCGATTTCTCTGTTTCTAATGTTTTCAGCGCTTTTAAACTTTTAATTTCCTCCTCCTTATTATTATTATTATTATTATTATTATTATTATTATTATTATTATTAATTATTATTATGAAGTGTTTCATTTATATTTTGTAGATCTGATGATGAGAACAGATGCTTCTCGAAAAAATGTTGACACTTTTAAAAGTCAATTTAGTATTGTTTTCCTCTTCCGTCTCACAAATATTTAAATATCCATAAGTACTAACATGAAATAATTTGGTTTTGCTTTTGCTCCAAACATTCAAAGAATTGCACAATATTAAAACCTTTTACCTACCGCATTTAAGGTAAGCCTGACACAGCTTAGATTCATGTAAGTACCGAAATAAACCATACCACAGGTGGGGTTAGAACCCGCGATTAGAGAGTCATTACGATTTCGTGAGTCAAGTACTGAAATATTTTGATCACCTGATGTCTCTAGACTAACAGGAAAAATAAAATTTTGACGATACTACTGTTGATACTAGTGTAAATAATGATAACGATATCAGTAATACTAAAGATAAGGCGCCAGGTGGATGTTATTGTAGGTGCAATAACAGGACAATAATAGCCTTCGGTACTATTTCTGTTATCAGTATATTGTGATTAACCTGATATGATGCCGGCGTCGGTAGGACAGGAAGTCCCTGAGTTATCGAGGATCCTGCTAGTAAGGTTCCTTCCACACGGTCACCTATCCATTTATTAGATGGACGCAGTGGTGCTTAACTTGAGAGAGAGAGAGAGAGAGAGAGAGCACATGCATGTCAATTGTATTACCACGCTAATAGCAAACTTAGGCTAATGAAAACGGTCACAAGTCACATAAAAGGCTTTTAATGGGACACGGCTTGTTCGATGTCTTCATCATTCTTGTCACTAATACGCCATTTCTTCCAGCAAATGTAATCTAAAATGAACCATTTTTCCCCTGGAAGAATGTAACAGCTTTTGTCAGTTATAAGGTAATTTCATGAAAGCTCAGAGTCACTATATACAATTACAATACAATAGAAAAAATTTATGCAGATTACATAATTGGCTTACGTTATTACCTGTTGTGATTAGTAAATAAACACGTCATTGATTGTTATACCGTTATAGCGTAAATATTAACCCACTTATGAAAAGCCTACGATACAGAATGGTTATTTGTAGATGAATGGTTCAGAGAACCTTCTCCGTACGTGTGCCGTATTCTATTTAAGATTGATGGACTGAGCACATCGACTCAAGGTTGAGGAACTGATTACCTCATTCTCCTCCTGTTCTTCAAGATTCTCCTTTGTATGGACTGATGAAGCCACTGTGTGGCGAAACGTTTCCTCAATAAAGATACCCAAGAGTTGCACATGTGTCTAATTTATCAGAATGGTTATTATTATATATTAATTTAAGATTTGCAAAATCCTGCGCAAAGTGAACGATGACTGGACTATCAATCACATTCACTTTGCTCTTGTCATTTATTGTTAAGTGACCTAGAAGCCAAACATCTCGCAGCGAGACAGTGTGGAAGGAGGACGTATTAAGGAATAAGAGCTGGAATAAGGATATAATCAGGAGACCAGAAATAAGGAGGAGGCAACAGAGTAAGATACTCCACAACACGGCGGATGGAAGAATAATTACTGATTAGTTGAGAGAGACGAATTAAGCCATTAACTAGGGTTTCAACTCTATCACTAAAATATATCAAGAACTGGACTTCTCTCCGCAGATCCCAAACATATACCAGGAATTATAATTACAAGGTTTGGTCAGTTTCTCGTGAGATAGGAGGCTACTAGGGAAGGGGCGCTCGAGATATATATCTCTGTAACTACAGACAATTCACTTTTACTATCAAGTAAATTCCCAGACATGGATGATAGCAGTTAGAAAGAGTGGGTGGATGGGTGGTTGAGGATGAAGCTTATTAGAACGTACATATATAATACATGGATACATAATACGTATGTATGTACAGCAAGCGATGATTAACGATCAACAGAAAGATCCTGGGTTCTAATTCTGGCCAGAGCCAAACGTGTGGACAAGTCTTTTTTTAAGCCCCTTTCTCATGATTACTTGCCAGTATACAGTTACCGTGGTGTTAGTCGACCGTGGTGGAAATAGTAATAATGAAGATGAGTTAACTATTACTTTGCTCCTGTTACTAACTAAACATAGATAACTAAATAGATAATCACACTTACACAAGCACACACCTGCTTATCTGTATTATCCATGAAATCACACAATGCAGCTGCCTGGCTGCTCCTCATGTATATGGCGTGACTCACTCGCACTTTAGATAACAATAACCATAAAATTATTGATATTTGTGTCCAGCTGAGTGTTACGAGGAAGGTGACAGGTGGGCGGAGGTATGTATTAATACTCACTGCTGCCTTCCATGGAGGTATTCTGTGGGTACCTGAGGACAGGACTACGCCTGAGCTTCTCGGTCTGAATTTCCTTTCTCTCGGTCCCTCAAGGTTTGATACTATGTGTTCATTTCAGCTATTTAGAGAAACTTAGAGGTAGACAGCAGTTAATGATTTTCCTTTAATATCCTCAATATTACCAGAGAGTCTTGTGTTTTCTGCCTCTCCCATGTATACCTCTTTCTGTATATAACTGAAAAGAATCCACACATCGGCACACAGTTACTTGGCACTGTGACGATCTACCGTCACTTTGTGGCAGATTCTTTCACATGTCTTTCGTGTGGCAGATGTCTGGATATGAAGTGGAGCCAGTGACGGATACAATAGCCTTCGGTGAGGGTCCTCACTGGTCGGTGGAGGAGCAGGCTCTCTACTTCGTGGATTTCTTCGAGCAACTGGTGAGGCGGTACCACCCGGAGACCAGTACCCATACCAAACTTCACATAGGTGAGTAGCCACACACAACACAGGAACACGGAGACCATTGAAGACAGAGGCTTTATACAGGTAACTAGCCCTACACAAGGATTACCCACACCAGTGCCCAGACCAGTGCTTACACCAGTGCTTACACCAGTGCCCACACCAGTGCTTACACCAGTGCCCATACCTGTGCCCACACCAAGCTTCACACAGGGCAGTAGCTTCGCATGCTACATAACACGAACACCGTTAATAATGTATATATGATAATGGTATACAATATCGACTAGTTGATAAGTATTAATAATAATTAATGCCATAAATCATTCTGATTCTTTTATTCCGGCTATTACTCTCAGTAATTGAGATATAGAAGTATGATACTATAAAGACGTGACAGAAACAAGAACTTAAGTGCTGGTTCAAGAAGTACACTTCTTACACTTCTTATAGCTTACCTAAGAGAGAAATACTGCAAATAAATCACAATAAAAACAGTTTATAACATATTCGACAGTGAGGAGAATTTTTATTGTCGATAAGAAGTCGACTTTTTAAATAACCTATTTTACCCAATTTTTCTCTTAATTGCTGAACGTGCATGATGAGATTTATCTCCCGTAGAAGGAGGACCCGTGACGATGGTGGTACCTCACAAGACTGAAAAAAACACCTTCGTCGTGAGTATCGGTCTCACCCTGGCTGCCGTGACCTGGCCTGACCCCACCCAGGACTTTTCCGTCAGCGCAGAGGACATCCGTATTTTGGCGACCGTCGAACAAGATCTTCCGGACAACCGCTTCAACGATGGCAAGTGTGATGCCATCGGCAGGCTTTGGGCAGGTGAGCATACACTACCCAGAATCAGGTAGACAGGGTATATCAACTGAAGCATGATAGGAGGAACAGAGCAGGTCAGGTAAATCTAGGATTTGAAAATTAACAGGTAGGCAGGAGAATTAACATGTAAAGCGCTCATCCAAAGTCATTGAACGCAGAGAGTATTTGGAGGCTCTATCTTGTATCCGCTTAGCGTGAGGCAGGAATCCTTCTCATGCAGGCAGACACTTGCATCAGGCAGGCAGAAGAGGTAGGGTAAAGCAGGAAGAGAAAGAGACGCGGAGGCAGGTTTGAGTGGCGTGAGAGGGTGAAAAAAAAAGGTCTAGTAAACATGGCAAGCTGGAAAGAAGGCGCGAGATTAAGCAGGAGATTGACAATAACGTGGCTCTTGCAGGCACCATGAGCCAAGCAGAGGAGCCAGACCACATGGGCAACCTTTACCGCCTCGACATTGACCGAACCATCACTAAAGTCGTCGAAAAGGTCAGTGCACTGGTGGACAGACAAATCATGTTTTATATTCTAGCCAAGTCATCAATCAGTCCTGAAGGTCAGTTTTAAGTTCTGAGCCTTAATTATTAATTCTGTGTATCAATTTCATATATGTTAAGCCTACATCATTTTCCGTTCTCTCGATCCTTATAATCGTTCCTCTCCATTCAAAAACACAAACTACGTCTTTCCACACTTACAACATTAGTACATCCTTGTGAGGGAAAAGTTATATAGATAGGAGTAGCGAGGGAGTGTATAGTAACAATAGTTTCATTGCCGGCTACATGTTAAGGTAGGGTCAGTCTAGCTCCCGCTATCTCTTCCCCCCTCTTTCCCCCCCCCCCCTGAAAGGTGACGTGTGGGGCTCCGGTCAAACAGTAAATCACTCGACTCACAGTTCCCAACACTACTCTTGGAATGACAGAGAGGGTCACCTGCCAACCAACGAGAAGAATAAAAGGAGACGGACTAACGTCCTGAGACGTCCCATGTTTAGTCTACTTACCTGTATGTAACACACGACCTACCTCTCATCATAGCAGTGGTAATGAACCTGTTTTCCTGTCATCTGAAGTAATTACACACGGCTATACTTGGTGAAGAACGAGCCAGTGGTGGTCACCAACACCTGCTACCCCCCCCCCCACATCAGCAACGGCTACGATTTCAACAACACTCAGTGTCACCAACACCTGACACCCCATTACCACGATATACCTATATTAGCATTGAGTTCAAATGTAATTTTTTTTTCATTTCATTTTCCATTTTTCTTTCAATTAGGATACCCATTCATGTTTTATTGTTTTACATTTTCCGTTTCTAAATAATAAAGTGTTTATCATTGTCTGTTATTATTTCTTTTTCTATTCATTAATTTTCCTGAGGAGGAGCCAGCCTTGGTAATACTGACTGAAGTTGTTACAGGGCTGAGTAAGCCTTCACATCTTTCCTCATCTTCACCAAAACATCTTTTCTCCATCAGCAACTAAACTACAAAATTTCCCCATCGTTTCCTCATCTTCATCCTCTCCATCTCATCTTCCCATCTTTAGACTCCATTATCATCTCCGTTTACCTCCATTACACCTGCGAAAATCACTACGTTTTGGTAAATCTCTTCTATTTTTTTTACCCTTGCAGCTGACCTACAGCAATGGCTTGGCTTGGTCTGAGGACAACGCTACCATGTACCACGTCGACACACTTGAGTACAAGGTCAATGCCTTCGACTTCGACCTCACTACAGGTGCACTGAGTAAGCTGCTGGCTTCCTCGTACACGATGTTGATATCGTTTAACTAATATTTGTATGGCTATGCGAGTGTGTGTCTTGTTATGTCTACTTTGTTACCTACCTACCTACTTGTGATTGATGTTACAGGTGGACGTAGAGTAGTGTTCGATTTCGCGGAGGCAGGACTCAGCCCTGCTCAGCCTGACGGCATGACCATTGATACAGATGGAAACCTCTGGGTTGCTGGTTATGGCGTCGGTACGGTGAGTTCAGGTCGTTCAAGACTCTGTACACCGTGTACGTCGGGCCCAAATTGGAGTATGCAGCACCAGTTTGGAACCCACACCTGGCCAAGAACGTCAAGAAATTAGAGACAGTGCAAAGGTTTACAACATTACTAGCCCCAGAGCTAAGGGGTATGTCCTACGAGAAGGTTATGAGAATTCAGGTAGGTTCGCCAGGTGGGTCCTGACACAGGTCTTCAGTATACGATGACCCGACATATGGTGAGTCACAAACGATACCCTGGAGTTATTGTGAATACATGCAGAAAACAAAAATTCAAGTAAGGTTCGCTTAGAGTAAATTGGGCTTATTCGTTCGGCAGTTGATTTAATTACATGCAAATTAATTCAAACATTGTGCCAACGGGTATAGATCTGCGAAGGTTTTCTCCTTTTTTTCTGCGTGCAGTTTTGACAAATTTTTACATTTTCATTCATATTTCTGTAACTCAACACAGCTAAATAATGACTCATGTTAATTTTATTTATTGCAGTCACAACTCTGCACATTTTTTATAGCCTTAATGGATTCTATCACATTTGTACAGGTGTTTTCGTAGCCTCACAGACGTACATGTGTTTTCAGCATCCCACAGATGACTTTAAATTTTATATATGCACATGTGAGCTGATGTTCTCACAGGTGGGCTTACTTCCCCACAGGTGTACAATATAGATCCCAGTGATGGAAAGATTCTGAGAATGGTTGATCAGCTGCCAGCCCAGGAAATCACCTCCGTCTCTTGGGGAGGATCAGACCTCGACCAACTCTTCGTTACCTGTGGAAATGGTCCTGTCTTAAAGTAAGTTCTGTCTTACAGCGCGTTCTCAGGTGAGCATAGTGAGCAAAAGTGTATATCTGCGGGTGAGAAAGATGATGAGCGAGAGAACATGTCTTCAAGTGAGGATGATAAGAGAAGGTACATCCTTCATGCGAGGATGATAAGAGAAGGTACATCCTTCATGCGAGGAGATAAGAGAAGGTACAACCTTCAGGTGAGGATGATAAGAGAAGGTACATCCTTCATGCGAGGATGATAAGAGAAGGTGCATCCTTCATGCGAGGATGATAAGAGAAGGTACATCCTTCATGCGAGGATAAGAGAAGGTACATCCTTCATGCGAGGATAAGAGAAGGTGCATCCTTCATGCGAGGATGATAAGAGAAGGTACATCCTTCAGGTGAGGGAGAAGATATGGGAAACCAGATTCTACAGCCTCTGTGTTTGTTGCTGTTTTAAATGATGCAAAAAGAAGCATCAAAGGCTTTCAAATATGAGTGAGTAATATTGTTTTTCATAGTAACTGTATGTTATTTTTTTTTTTTTTTATTTTTTGTACACAAGGACCGATTCTCTCGTCCAACGCCATTGGCCCTGACAAAAGAGCACTTTTCTCCATAATCTCCACACTGTCTTGCCAGAAGGGTGCTTTACACTACAGTTTTTTAAACTGCATCATTAACACCCTCTTCAGAGTGCAGGCACTGTACTTCCCATCTCCAGGACTCAAGTCCGGCCTGCCGGTTTCCCTGAATCCCTTCATAAATGTTACTTGCTCACACTCCAACAGCACGTCAAGTATTAAAAACCATTTGTCTCCATTCACTCCTATCAAACACGCTCAACAGCTGCTGAATCCAAGCCCCTCGCACACAAACCTCCTTACCCCCCTCCAACCTTCTGGCGACCCCTACCCCGCCTTCCTTCCCTACAACTGATACACTCTTGAAGTCATTCTGTTCGCTCCTTTCTCTACATGTCGACCACCAACAACCCTTCCTCCCCTCTGGCAACGTTTTGGTAATCCGCACCTCCTCCTAACTTCCAAACTACGATTCTCTGCATTATATTCACACCACAATTGCCCTCAACATGACATCCACTGCCTCAGCCTCTCTCGCTGCAACATTCATCACCCACTTCACACCCATATAGAGCGTTGGTAAAACTATACTCATACATTCCCTCTTTGCTCCAAGGACAAAGTTCTTTGTCTCCAAGACTCCTAAGTCACACTCACTCTTTTTCCTCATCAATTCATGATCACCTCATCTTTCTGACCCTCCGCTGAACGTCACTCCCAATATCTGATACGTTCACTCCTCCATACCTCTCCTCCAATCGATTTCAATCTTTCATCACCATCTTTGTTATCCTCATAACCTTATCTTTCCTGTATTCCCTTTAATTTTCTTTTTTCACACCTACCAAATTCATCCACCATCTCTGCAACTTCTCTTCAGAATCCCCAAGAGCACGTGTCATCAGCAAGAGCAGCTGTGAAACTCCACTTTGTGTGTGATTCTTTATCTTTTCCCACGCCCTTGCAAGACCTCGCATTTACTTCTCTACAACCCATCTATAAATATAAACACCACGGTGACATCACACACCTTGTCTAAGGCTACTTTTACTGGGAAAAATTTCCTCTTTCCTACAACTCTAATTGACCTACTATCTCGTAAAAACTCTCACTGCTTTCAGTAACTACCTCCTACACCTACACTTGCAACATCGCCCATTGCCCCCTTCCACCTGTCATACGCTTTTCCAAATCCATAATGCACAAAAACCTCTTTGCCTATCAAATACTGTACTTATATTTTTCACTGTAAAACCTGGTCCACACCCCCTACTTTCCTAAGCCCCTTGTTCTCGCTATCCTATTCCCGTTTACCTTAATTCTTTCAATTATAACTCTACCATAACTTTACCATACATCAACAACTTATCCCTTAATTTTTGCACTCTCTTTTTCCCCTTTGCCTTATACAAAGAAATGCATCTTTCCAATCCCAGGTACTCCCCTTCATACATTATTAACAATTGCACCAACACTCAAAACTATTCCCATGCTTTAACATTTCTATCTTTATCCCATCAATCCCGGCTGCCTTACCCCTTTATTTTACCCACTGCTCACGAATTCCCCACATCACAACTGCTCTTCCTCTCCTAAGATGTTATTCCCCTTGCCTATACACGAAACCAGCTTCCTACTTCCAACATTACAATCCTCAATATTCCTCCATCTTCCAATACTCTAACTCTCCATTTAATACTCCTCTCCTATTTTTAACTACAAATCTTTGTTCTCTAGGCTTTCTTACTTGTTAATCTCACTTCAAAACTTTTTTTATTTCCAACTGAAATTTTGTGATAACTTCCCCACTTACTATTTGATCTCTGAATTTTACAGCTGCCCACCCAAAACCACCTCTCTTAACAAACCCCCCTCTTTTTTTTTCCTCAATAAGTTTCGTCTTACAGCGCGTTCTCAGGTGAGCATAGTAGCAAAAGTGTATTCTGACGGTGATGAAAGATGATGACGAGAAACATTCTTCAAGTGAGGTGATAAGAGAAGGTACATCCTTCATCGATATAAAGAAGTACATCCTCATGCGAGATAAGAGAAGGTACAACCTTCAGGTGAGGATATAGAGAAGTCATCCTTCATGCGAGGCATGATAAGACAGGTGCTCCTTTCATGCGAGGATGAAAAGGTACTCCTTCATGCGAGATAGAAGTACAACCTTCATGCGAGATAAGAGAAGTGCACCTTCATGCGAGATATAACGAAGGTACATCCTTAGTGGGGAGAACTATGGAAACCAGATTCTCACGCACCCTGTGTTTTTGCTGTTTTCAATGAGCCAAAATGACTCAATAGCTTTTCAAATATGATGAGTAATTGTCTTCTTCATAGTAACTGTATGTATTGTCTTTAAAATAATTGAGTCTGTGTTAACCTCGGTTAAATATGATTTTTGTACACGAATGGTATACAATACC